TCCACTTTTCTCTTTGGCATGCACACACACACACACACACACACACACACACGCACCCAGCATGATTTTCAAGCCACCAGGTCTGTGATTCGAACAACGGTGTCCATGTAAGGATCCAGCTGCCTTAACCACCACACCATCTGCTGGCCCAATACTAGTTCTCAATATGTGAATGTTAACTTAAAAAAATCCTTACAAGCATCTTTTTATCTCTGTATCATTTTCTAAAAGAGCAAATACCCAGATGCTCTTTTCTTCATTCTTGTTCAGATGGATCTACTGCATTTTAAAATCTTTTTTCCTGATGTGGCTGGTAAAATGAAAAGCTCTGTATCTTTGTCAGTACCGCCATAGCTCAAAATTCCTGAAGGTACCTTCCATCTGGAGCCTTTATCTATGGAAACATTGTTCCCAGGAGCCCATATGAAAACTATGTGTGATTGTTTCTATCAGTTTGTTCATAATCTCCCGCCTAGGAATAACCAAGAAGCCCTTCAGCAGATGGATAAATGAGCACACCAGAACACCACCGAGGAGCAGCACAAAAGCAATGAGTGCTTCTCAGCACTGAGAAAGCACAGCCGCTCACATGAGTGTAGACAGGAAGCTGAGTCCACTTCCCTCAAAGAAAGTGCCAGACCCAAAGGGCTAGGTACCGGTTCCACTCCATGACATCCTGGAAAAGACAAAACACGTTTAAATCAGCTCTGTTTAAAACAAGTTCTTTTTTTTTTTGGAGAGGTTTTTTTTTTTTTTTTTTTCGCTATAGGGCGCGTGCGCTCGCCAGACAGACAGAGACAGAGAGACAGAAAGCGAGAAATCACCCCCCAGGGGGGATGGTCACGCCGCAATCCCTTCTCCATTCTCCTCTTGGGATCTTGGGCACGCACGCACACGCGCCCGGCGTGAGATTTAAGCCACCGGGTCCGAGACACGAACCGCGGTCGACTACGTGGGAGTCCAGCGACATAGCCATTACGCTAACTGCTAGTTCCCTGTTTAAAACAAGTTCTGAGAGACCAATTCCTGAGATAGCTCTGAAGACTTTCTATTTTAATTAGAGAAACACTTTACAATTTTGATGTTCATTAACTTAATATCAATAACCCAATTACTCCTCTGTTCTCTTTTTCTAAGTGTGAGTCCAAGTTCTAGAAGTAAATACATTCCTCTCTATACGTAAGTAATGTTTCTCAAAATTTTTAAAGTACTAGATTTCCATTAGATTGTAGTTGCTTTTAAGCTCACTCATGTTTACAATTCACTTTTTATTTTTAATGCCAGAGGATGTGTGCATTTGCCAGAGAGAGAGAAAAAAAAAAAGAGAGAGAGAAAGAAAAATCCCCCCCCCCCCTCAAAGAAGTGTGGTCATGCCACAATTCTTTTCCCTCCTTTCTGTCAGCATTTTGAACGTGCACACACAGTGGCATGTTTTTCAAGCATCTGGGGCAGGGATTCAGACCTCGGTCAGCCATGTGAGATTGAGCTTAACCACTGTGCTACCAGTCTGGCCCTGAAATTTACTTTTTCTGTTTTTTAGAGGTTTTTGCTATAGGGCATGTGTGCTCGCCAGAAAGACAGCGACTGAGAGATAGAAACCAAGAAATCACCCCCCAGGGGGGATGGCCACACCAAAATCCCTTTTCCTTCATTCTCCTCTTGGGATCTTGGGCACGCACGCACATGCGCCCAGTGTGAATTTAAGCCACCGGGACCGGGACTCAAACAGCAGTCGGCTACATGGGAGTTCAGCAACATAGCCATTACGCTAACTGCTGGTCCCTGCAATTTACTTTTTAAGACAACTTACATGCTCTAACAGATTTCTACTGCTTTCCTGACACAGTGACTGTTTAACATCAAAGTTCCAAATGTTTGTTAGAGAGTTTGGTGTAAAAAAAAAAAAAAAAAGAAAAGAAAGAAAGAAAGAAAGATGGACCAGCAGGTGGTGAGAAGGTTAATTCACTGACTCCCACACGGAAGATTGTATGGTTTGAATTCCAGACTTGGTAGCTTGAAAAACACACTGTGTGTCTGTGTGTGTGTGTGTGTGTGTGTGTGTGTGTGTGTGTGTCAAAAATTCTGAGAGGTGAATGGAGGAGAACGGATTGGGGCATGGCCATCCTCCCTGGGGGATGTTTTCTCACTTTCCCTCTCTTCCTCTGTCTCTCTTCAGCAAGCACACATGCCCTGTCACAAAAATATAAAAGAAAAGAAAGAAAAGGAAAAGGAGGGATGTGTTTTTCTGTTTGGAACTAAAATTTCGATGCTGCTACTACTGGGTGTTTTCATCTGCACCAGCTGTTTTAGTTGATGTGGAAGGTACAAGGCACTCGCAAACACTGGAATGCAGAAAATACCACCTCTTATTTTTTAACAGTTAAATCTGGGTTTCCCTGGATGACAAAGTACATAATCTGCCACGTAGGGTCTTTATTTCTGAGATTGAAGAATAAACTTTGGAACAAAGTAGACCCAAGAACAAGGTAGAGAGGGACCCGGAACTTTGTCCCCCGTTACTGCAGCCTCTTCTGTTCTACAATAGAGTTGACCCGTGCTCCTACTAATGACCCTAGGAGACGCTTTCTGGCTGACATGGACTCAACCTCCCGACCTTCTTTCAAGTCCACAGGCACCCACTGGTCGCCCAGGCTCCATGGCGCCATTGCCACAGATGCCATATTGTCTCTGGCAGACGCCAGCCTCTGCCTGGGCTCAGTCCTCCACCAGTCTACAACGAAGGAGTGGTCCTGGGCCTGCTTCTTCTCTCAGAAACACAGCCCAGCTGTTACTCTCATGCTCGCTCCAACTCAAGAGCAGAGAACACAGCAACTCTTACTCTGAAGAACAGAATATCCCCTCTATTTTAAGTGAATTGTTCCATCCCGAGGGGGCTTTGTTTTTGCATTTTGAGCTTTTGATCCATTTTGGCAAATAAAATTTCCTTTAGAAGTTAGAACACTCTTGGACTATTTCTAAGTCTTACCAAGAAACATGGGTCTTCTTTTTTTCTCTCCCTCACAGTGGACACGTACAGTCTACAAATGCTGATGATGTTGACAACCCTTACGGCGATATCACCTCTCTTGCCAAACCGCGGCATGCTCGACCTCACTATACAAACACAAATCGGTGAGTTCCGTTTGTAATTCTTTCATTTTTTTTGTTACTAAAGGTAAAACATGGGCATGGGCTTTATTGTAAATGAAGGAATAAAAAATGGCCATTATAGAACATAAGAAGGAGAACGTCTATTCCCTAAAAGATTGACTCACCTGGGAGCCTTGAGCAGCTCACTTCTGCCTGTGGGAAAAATGCTACCAAGCAAAGGAATTGTGGGGGAATCAATAATGCTTGGAATACTACTCTGAAATGCTGCTGATCAATAACAGATCATACCAAAGTTGGCAAAACCGGACTCTTCTACAAAAACAAGACGTGGGTTTTACAGTGCCAGGGTATTGCTTTCCGGGACACTGGTCCAGGGAGATGGCAAGTACACTGCAGTGACCCTGGACATGTTCTTGTAACAGAGGCAAGAAATGAGCAGGAAGCGGGTGGGCCCCAGCAGTTCAGCAGCTCAGTGGAGGAAGGAAAGAACGCCCCAGCACCAAGCTCTGATACTTGAAAGCTCTCACCACAGTATACGTAGTTTTTAATTTACGTCTGCTATACAATATATTCATTGTTTTATATTACGAATGAACTTTATATATTATATAATACATATATATTCTTCCACAAGTTCATGAAAATGTATATTATGAAAAATTATGCATGGATTTCAAATTTGTTTTGCACCAAAATAAAGTCTTACTTAACTCAGGACGGGCAGATGCATCATGGTTATGTCACTGGATTCCCACATAGTTGACTGTGGTTTGAGTTTGGGACCCGGTGGCTCAAAACTTACACCAGGCACACGTGTGCATGTGTGCCCAAAATCCCGAGAGGAGAATGGAGGAGAAGGGATTGCGGCGTGACCGTCCCCCCTGGGGGGTGATTTCTTGCTTTCTGTCTCTCTGGCAAAATTTCTCTTGAAAAAAAAGAGTCTTACTTGTTTTCCACAAACTTGAGAAGTCCTATACATGCATACATACACACATATATATACACACACACTATATATATAACAACATTGTATATTATATACAATTATATATATGCATGTTATATCTATTATATACATTATATATATACACACACACACACACACACACACATACACACACACACACATACTTTTGCCAGTAAGAATACCAAGGCTCAGAGAAATTAAATTGCTTCTCTAGAATTCACAAGACAACCCTGAAGTTCAAGTGCAGTTCTCTTTCCACAATGCCACCGAGCAGCCAAAGGTCAGGAATGTCACACCATCAGTTTCCGTCGTGATCAACAAATATTGCAGAAATATTATGCAAGGCCATAGCATGAATCATGGTAATATTTTTCTATTTATGTTTTGATTGCTGGAAAGTGTACGTGCTCACCAGACAGGCACAAAAACAGAGAAAAGGAGATGGGAAAAGCATCCTGTCAATAGGGTCGCCCGCAATCTCTTCTCCTCCCTCTCTAAATCCTTTCAGAATTTAGGGCACACATACGTGTGTGTTTGGTGTATTTTTAAAACCCAGGGGACCAGGATTCAAACTGTGTGATTAGCCATGGGGCACCCCACCCCCTTAACTACTAAGCTACAGTGCTGGCCCACAATAACATTTTAAATGATAATTAATTTCTATCTTTTTAAAACATCACTTGTGCCCATGAGAAAAACTAGTTAAATTTCACATTAGCCATCCTTCAGCCTAATTCTGCTGTTGGGTAAATACAGTAATTTAGGGGTCATCCAGTGCTGTGCTGGGTTAAGGCAGCTGGATGCGACATGACTGAGCACGTTGGACATGTGTGGAACCAGCAGATGATGTATGGTTACGTTGCTGGACTCCCATGTAGTTGTCTGTGGTTCGAGGCCCAGACCTGGCAACTTAAAACTCATGCTGGCTGAGTGTGTGTGCATGCCCAAAATCCTGAGAGGAGAATGGAAAAGAAGGAATAGCAGTGTGGCCATCCCCCCGCGGGGGTGATTTCTCGCTTTTTGTCTCTCTGGTGAGTGCACACACTCTATAACAAAAATCTCTCTCAAACACACACACACACACTAGACATGTGTGTGCATACCCATAATTTTGAGAGCACACACACACGCACACACACACACACACACACACACACGACATGTGTGTGCATACCCATAATCTTGAGAGAAGAACAGAGGAGAAGGAATTGTGGTATGGCCATCCCTATGGGGGGTTTTCTCACTTTCCCTCTATCTCTCTGTGGTAAGCATATACACCCTGTAGCAAAAAATAATTTTTAATTTTTCTATGATGTCTACCCTATCTAATTCTTTTGGCTACTTGGCCAAATCATAAAATAGGCTTCAAAATTCACTTTGGTTATAAAATATGGCTATGTAACCTGCATCATTGAAGAATGAATGATTCTGCCTAATTCAGCAAAAACAAAAAGAGTTCCTGAAATGTTCCAGATATTTTGCTAAGAACTGTAATAATATAAAGATACAAAAACAAAAAGAGTTCCTGAAATGTTCCAGGTACTTTGCTAACAATTGTAATAATATGAAGATTTAAAAAGGCAGAGGCTCTGCCCTCAAGTAGCTAAAACCTTGGAGAACAGTAAGCTCTATACAGAAATTACTATAATAAAAAGAGGATGAAATAAGTCTCATAAAATTCAATCTAGCATTTTTGAAGCCCAGTTACAGATAGAAATTAGAGCCAATTTCATTCCACAGCGGTTCAAGGGAAGCTGCATCCCTTACGG